ATGAGGAAGTAACTGATTCCTAGTGGTCTTTTAATCCTTTTTTCTTAGTTATGAACAATTTTCTCAACAAGCAAGTCTACATTTCATAAGAAGTACAAGGTTGCTAAGGGATTTCATGGTTTTATGGATAATACTGATCTTGAGAATGACATTTTCAACATTATCTCTGGGGTAACAACCTTATTTATAAAAAGAAATCAAATGTCATCAATTGTTTTAATAAGTACTTTTCAAATCCATAATCTAATTTTGCTAATATGGCTTAGTCTAAAACAGTCTGTGAAATTTAGAATACACTAACTTTAAGCAGGAAAGGACAGAAAATGTTCTTTGGCATATATCTATGTACATTCATTCTTTCACTTTCCCTGGTAAACAGGAGAATGAAGCACCTTAGTGCGTCCATCTTAGTGCTTCCTCCACCATTTCCTCCATGAATGTTCTATCAGAGGCAAGTTCAGTGCTACTCACTTTTATTAAAATGACATGATCTTGAGTTTTTCTCTTTTTATAAAAAAGGACTTTCCATTTTAATCAAACATATACTATCATTACTGAAATTAATTCACTAAATTTACTAAATTAACATCCACTTACTACCTTAAGTAGGCATTTAGTTACTTCTGAGGCTAGTCTCTTTCTTTAACTTGAACTAGAGACTCCTTTATGTAGCGAAAACACTGTTGTATGATGATTTCAAAAAGCAATTCCTTTCAGATAATGCTGGGTATCAGCGCTTTATATACATTGGTCTGTGGCCATAATACTAACAGACTACATCTAGTTCAGGTGAGTCATTCTTGTCTGAATAGTATGTTTTTGTGTTGTCAAGTTTTTTAAGAGATCCTTAAAAATCCTTAGAGAAATGGATTATCCTGAAATGGACAGTATAACCACTTTTAACAACAAGAAAAGAATGAAGTATACAACTGACTGATGAACTACTGAACACTTTTAAAACATGGACATATGAAATTCTGCTGTCACTTAAGAAAAACAGAAGAATGTCATATTCTTTCAGATAGATTCATACATGATGACAAAAATAAACCTCAAATATTTTCCAAATATAATTGGGGCAGCTTGTATATATTTAAAAGTAATTGAGTTGGTACAGAATTCATTCAGGGCCTTAGGTTCACTACTGACTCACATGAGTAACATTCACATGAGATTCTTAACTTTCGGCCTACATTGTTGACGTCTCCTATGACCTGACACTTTTTTTCCTTCCCTTCACTTTTTACATATACATCTCTCAACCATTTTTATCAGTCACGACTGCATTCAGCTCTGTGTAACAGATTTACTATTGAATGAACTAAGGCTCTGGAGTAAGCAATCCAAAACTGATGGGCAGTATCTTTAGGCAAATGGTTTTACACTGATTATAAGGTGGGTATTGCATTTTCAGGCATCAATCTACAAACCAGACAGCAAAGAGGGAGAAGACAGGTGAAAATGTCTAGCCTTCTGCCTCAGGAGAACAGTAGCTTCCTAACAGAGTCCCATTAGAAGCCCAGTGGCCAGAGCTAGGTTATAGGACCACTTAGGCTTTAGAGGTGTTGAGGAATGCTGTAACTGCACAGTGCCCCCTTTAATAATCTTGGGGGTCTATTAATTAGGTAAAAGGGGAGACTTCATATAGGAAGATGACCAGTGCTGTCTTCCCTGTTACATTACAGTCCTTGATGTTTCCTTCTCTGAACACTTATTGGAATGAGAGGCTGATGAATCACAATTATACATTGCAACAATTAAGTACATACTGACTTGTATAAGGCACTAATTTTTAATATATATGCAGACACAAAAGCCCTGGAAAATGGAGGCAAAGTTTTATTTTCATTATGTTTCACATAAATCTGATAAGTATTTGACTTCTTAATAAATTCACTCATAATTCTTTTGATCTCAATCCTGTTGTCTAGAAAAATTAATAATAACTTCCCCTTTGTGGCTTTAATTTTATTCTTTCCTACTCCCTAAGGAACTTAGCTACTGTTTGAATTGCTTTTAAGTCTTACTGGATCTCTGGTATATCTCTTATCTTACAATTTTACCATCAAAATTGTAACACTAAAAAACCAGAAACACTGAAATAAAAACAACATGTCCTATATCGAAGGCCTAAGAGATTAGGATACTTTAAAACAACTTTGAGCTTATTGTTAAAATCACTGTGATACCATTCAATGCTGACAATTATTCTTCGTTTCTTTCTCTAGTGAATTGGTTTTAGTCCTGTCTTTCAGTGAAGAGCAACAGAAAAATAAACTAAATAGTTATACTCTTCCAAATGAAAGCTCTATTCTCTCAACTAATGTCTAAAACTGTTCCTCTTATGCTGCCTTTTAAAAATGTTTAAGGGTATCTTTTCAGTAATAACTATGAAGGAAACCATTGGTCTAAAATAGAAACTTTCTACTCTAAAAATGTTTATTAATTTATGGATAAATATTACTTTACTCATATTATGCACATTACAAAATAGGACTTTTCTAAAAGTGAGACAATTCAAATATAATTGAATTATATTTGGAGATTCTAGCTTAGTAAGCTTTTATTACAGTAATTCTAAAGTTTGGTCCTCTATACAGTTTAATGCTTGGTTTTAACAAATTGTCATAGCTGAAATAGGTCAAATCTATTTTAAAAAAATATGTACTATACTTGTGCTTGTTAAATCATTATGTTCATTTTTCAATTTCAAAGATTTAGTGAAACTTTGAAAGACCCAATTTGAGTGTTACATGACCTTAAACACCTCTGAGTCTGCTGCTGGTACTCTGTTCTAGCTGGTGTATTCAGCAGTGAGAGCAGAAGCAGGAGGCAGTTCATGGACGGCCCAGCAGGCCAGTGCACTGACTCTTTTGACAGGATGGAGCCACTTGGAGGTTTTCAGCAGGGAACTGACATGATCTGCTCAGGCTTCAAAAAGAGACTCTGCCCACTTTGTTGAGAACAGACTTTGGGGTACAGAGGTGGAAGTAAGGATGCCAGTCATGAGGTGCTTGCAGAAGTGTAAGCAGATGATGACAGTGTCGTGCAGAGTGGCTAGGACAGAGGTGACAGGGACAGAGATGGTCACATTCAGAATGTATTTTGAAGACTGCATGTGCATGTGTGCATGTGTGTGTGTACATACGCACACGTGCTGCTAGGGAAGACAGTGCACAGACAGGAGTTGTTTTTGACATTTCATCTTAGACATTATATGCTGGGGAGGTTCTCTGATCTTCTAAGGGTTCGCTATTTCTCATTTCCTGTGGTCCTACTGTACCCTGCCCACTTTTTGCAGTCTGTGGCAATTTCCTACTTGCTTTTTTATCCTTATTTGACCATAAGCCTTCAATGAGTTTTTAGGTTCCATGTATTATTTATAGTAGAGTGCATATATTGCATAAATACTTATTAATGAATGAATGGAATAAGTAAAATTTATACAACAGAAAAATCTACATCCTGTCAGCAATAAAAATACTAGGAAAAAGTCTGTGTCAAACCGCATAAAAGCTTTCTTTGTGTTTTGCAACAGTGTTACATCACCATGTTTATTGTTGCCAGTGCAGGAGCCACTGTAGTTAAGTAGTACTATGGTCTTAACATACTGGCGGTAGATCTGAATAAAGACATTAAGAATATCTGATATTTTTCATAGCTTAATACATAAAAAATTAAGAACCCACTGTATACATGAAAATTATGAAGACCTGTTTCAACTGCCAAACCATTTACCATCAGACACGAAAATGCTAAATATACAAATAAAGTAACCACTGCTCCAGACATGGGGGCTAGGAACATTTCCGTGCTGACTATTGATTACACAGTTTAAACTTCTATGGAACAAATGTATTCTGAGAATCTTTTGTTCAATTTTTGCTTGGCTTTGCATAGTAAATACTCTGAGACAAAGTTCTTGACACCAATCTAAAATGCCAAATGAGCAGCATGGCTTTTTAGTAGACTAAACTTTAGTAGTGGTATCTATTAATTTAGCAGCTCACCAGAGCCCTGTACGGTTACTATGCATGAACCCAATGAAAAGGACTAACACCTTACCATCAAATTATTTTTGGTTGAATGCTTGCAGCAAAGAAGATAATATATCTGAAGTGACCAGAACCCTCCAGAGACAAAGAACATTATATATTCCAAATAAAGTTCTACTATCTTAAGAACTTCATATTTTGTATCTTCACTATACAATAACTGTGTTTAGAAGAGAAATGAGGGTGTAACTTCACCAGTGGTGTTTATTTCTTCAGAGACTAGCTAGACTAGTTTTACTTTGGTGGGTGTGGTGATTAATTGATTAATTGTCAACCTGAGTGGGAACACCCAGCTGAACTGAGTCAGCATGGTTCTGGGCATGGAAGACCCACTTTGCGAGGTACTGTCGTTGAAACTGTATAAAAGGAGAATGGGAGGCAAGGATTTCAGCTGATTACCCTAGGAAGAGCTTTGGCTGTTCCCTTCGGAGGAGTTCCTGAACAGGCTCTTGCGGCTGACGGCTTTGAGCGTCGTCTCCTGCTTTCAGAACAGATTCTTCATCTTCCAGCACTGGCCTTCCTTCCTGCCGGTGCAGACTCTGGCCTCTAGCACAACCACACGCCCTCAGTGGACTCCTCCATCTCCCGTCAGAGATCTTTTGGCCTCCTGATGAGGATTTGTAGAGGACCCTGCAAGCTTTTGACTGGATTTGCTGGATCTCCACTGTGAGGACCAATTTTTGTACTTTTCTACATATGACTCTGACAAGATACTGTAAGCTAACCTTGTACATTTCTGTGTCCTGCATTAAATCTGATACAGAGCACGTGCAGTCTTTTGAGCAGCGTTGCCCCAGCCCTGCAAGCACTTGTAAACACTGACCATAATAGTGGGCTTACATTCAAAGGCTGGTTTTCAATTGTGCAAGCACAGACATCAAAATATCACTATTTGAACTTTCTTTCCAGAGAAGATTTACAGAGTGTCAAGTTCACAAGACTCACTGTAGAAAGACTGGGTGTTGTCTCCCAGCACCTGGGAGGCTGAGGCAGGAGGATCCCACAAAGTTCAAGATCAGTCTGGACTCCATAGTGACACTTTGTTTCAAAAATCTAAAAGAGAAGGTTGCCTACTAAGAATAAAATCTGAGCAAATGGGCCTTTAAACTAATATTTAATAGAATTTCATCTTTCATTAAATAAAATTACTCTAAATACCGAGAAAATACTGACTAAAACAGATGTGTTCCTATCTCAGAGTTATATTTAAGTTGGGAAAGACAATTAAGAATTTTGTTTTCATTATCGGTATGTCTTTAGTAAGGTACTGCCTTGCACTATTAAGTGTTTAATACTATTCTCTGAATGAATACTATGATAAAAGCTATTGACATAAGTTCTGATGCTGATATGTGCTAAGAAGAAAATACAACAGTGTATTTAATATGAGAAAGTAAAGTTGCTAAGGTAAAAGATAGCTAAACTAGATTTCACAGTGTAATAGACTAAATTATTTTTTGGTTAATATTCATTCTTTCTCCATACCTCATGGAGGAAGTGACTTTCCTATTCCACCAGTGCTAACCTTTGACTCAGTTGTATGGCATATAGAATGCGCTTCTCAACTCCTTGTCCATGGGTTCAGCCACAGGACCTGCCTTGGAGATGTCAGCAGGTAACTGGAAGCTCACAGAGCTTGTGCTGGGGGATCTCTCGCACACACACTTTGCCAGTGACAGGAGAAGAATGTATCTTGAGGTAGTCCATCACAATTGCCTTCTGAGTTTCAGAAACTCTGTTTAGGTGGTTTAATTTCTTTCACTAAATTCAAGGGCTTTGATTCCTGAATGTGTGTGCTATTATTTTCACTCATCTCTTAACTTCCAGTGCAGGAATAGTAGATATAGAAGAAGTGAGTAAACCAGATTGCATTCTGAATGCAGAAACAAGAGGAAGGGATTTTTACTAAGAAAGCATTTAATGAAAACAAGGTGGATGTAAAACTTGTGTGTGTATGTATGCTGACAGGATTTTCAAGTAACCAGTAAGCCAATTAAGAGCAGGAGAACATGTTTGTTTAGTCCAGTGGCTAAGCTCCACTTCAGAGACAAGACATTTTCATTTTCAACACATGATACATCTAAAAAGGAAAATGTGACCCACAAAAATGGGATAAATGCAGAGGACAAGAGCAAAGAGCAAAGTATTGAGTACATTATGGTCACACTACATTGTAAGTGAATAAGCACTCTAATGTATAAGGCAATGAGTTCACCTTAAATGCCAAAATATTTACAGATGAGTAAGAAGCAGAAAAGACATTAAAACTCTCATTACATGGCAATGCAGCTATGATCAATCTGTTCTTAGCACAAGGTATTAATACATTATATATATACAAACTCGTAAAAACCATGGGGATAAAAACAGTGGGACTGTCTCACAAGTCTATCTCAATGTACACTAAATGACAAATAGATTCAAGTGATTAGGGCCAGTGAAATGGACACCAGAACGCCTTCCACTTAGTACATAACTAAAGACACAATTGTCTCCTTTTTCAGACTTTAATGCATGTGACTCATCTTACAATCTGGTCCTTGCTGCCTAGTTTCTCATGCTTTCCTTAGTTTTACACTTACAGTTGAAAGAATAGTACAGGGCACAAATAACAGGCTTGGTAGAAAGAAACTGAGGAGGAAAGTAGAGGAAACAACCCTACTGATGGGCACGAGATTTAAATGCAGAGACCAGATACGATGCCAAGGAAAGGGACACCAGACTTTAGTGGAGGTGAACCCAACAGGGAAACAAGTTAATCAAGATCTTTTTATTACAGTAACTCTGTTGTCATCTTTGTATGAAAATAACTGTCCCAGCTAATGAATACAAAATATCCCTGAGTTATAGGGGAAGGGTGTTAACACAAGTATAACCATAAAACTTAGAAAATAACTACACAGACATGCTTTCCAAAATTATCTATTTTTAGTGTAAGTATATGGAACAAAACTTTATCCAAATGTTCCCTGTCCCTGTGAAGAATGTTACGTTGCTAGGCACTGGATATAGAAATGTTCAGATTATTTCAAAAAGAGTGATACTGTGACGGCCAAATGGCAAACTTTCACTACGATGTCTATGACCCTGGCCACAGGTAAAGCACAGCTTCAGTAAGAACAAAACCCACCTACCTTGACTTTGAAGGATCAGTTTTATAATTAACCAAGAAACTAAAAACTGGAAAAATTTCTGCAATAACCATAGAAGCTTGGAATAAATTCCCAAAGTATGTAGTGGCCATTTATGTGTTCTGATTTTCTGTATCTTTTCAAGCTTGATGAATTTTTAGCTTCATGAAGTATGACTCCTCTAGGTAATATCCATTAGCAACATCTGTTACTTAACCCTCCACTCCAATGGTTCCACCAACCAGAGTCATCTGTGTAAGACACTGCTTCACAGTGAGCAGTTAGATGTGTCAATGCATGCAACATGAGGATGGTAATAAAAGCACTCCAGTGTTGGGACAAGAATGACTAAATTAAGGAAGAGTTTCTCCTGGTGCTTGATGTGACTGTTACAGCAACAGGTACTTACTATTAAGCCAATTGTGTGTATAGTTTTGGGTACTGTTTATGGAACTTTGACCTTCAGCCTGGTTTTCCAGACCTCTGATCTTTGATCAGCCACTAAATATCCTTTTTAATACATTTTTCTGCTGCTTGCTCACCTGGAGGCTGCTTTTGTTACTTCCAAGAAGAACTGCGGCTGATATATAAATTGGTACTACAAGTGGCCAAGGGCAATATAACCTCAAAAAAAAAATCTATGATTAGTTAATTATATTAGGTAAACTAATGTATGATTAATTATTTGGTTCTGTAAGGGCTGCTGACTAAAAATCATAGTGGTATTCTGAAGAAGAAACAAAAAGTAGAATCTGGCAAACACATAGCCTGCAGTAGCAAAGTAACCCATTATCAACTATAGCCACTTGAAACAAAGGGATCACTGAAAGCTAGAATTTGGGAGATCAGTGACTACTGACATGGAACAGTATGAACAACATAAAAAATTCAAAGACAAGTTTAAATGCTTCTAATTTCACAGCACAGCTTTAAAAAGACAATGAAGTTCTTACATTATTAAACTCTCAACTGAAAGCAACAATCACAGCCACAAGTTATGCACTAACCACTATTTCTTGAAAGTCTGTATCTGTGAATAACAGTATCTGTCTTCTGTAGATCAGGAGGGTTAGTGAATTATACTGCTTCAGTGTGGACAGTGGGAAGCCTAAATGGCAGAATTCAAGTAGAAGCATTAACAGTAAGAGTTACTGCTTAACAGGATGGGTTTGTAATCAAAATTCTCTGACTTACAGGGAACAATGGTTTTTGATACTTATCAGACAATATATACAGATAAAACAGATATCCAAACTAGTCCAATTTAATTATAAAATGCTCCAGTTTAATGAACACAAGCCTAACCAGCTGCTGTACCAAAAACTGTAATGTATTCCCCAATTTCTAGGCCTGAGTTAATTTACAGACCAGGCCTTTTGAGTAAAGTGGACATTTCACATCCTTGAAGATGTCTACTGCAATAATGCCCCAGAGATTAATTGCAAACCTTCTGCCTGGCTGCCTTGTCAAAGTGCATGCACTGGAGAAAAGGTGTTATTTTGTAACCGCTCTGGAACTAACCCTAAACTAGGAGTACAGAATACCACTGTGGACTGCTGGTCAGAAGGGTGCTTACAAAAATGAATGATGGATGGAGTTTTAGCTTGAGTCTGCCTCATGTCAGTCTCAACAGAGTTCTAGATAAACAGTTTACTTCCAGAGCATATGGCTAACATTGGAGAAGGACAGTGAATTGCAAGAGGCTTAATCAACCAGTGACTTCAACTGTAGGTGTGATTACAGATGCAGGTTCTTTGTAGTACTAGAACTTCTAGCACCAAGTTATTCTGGCAAATGCTTTCTTCCCTCTATCACCATAGACAAAGAATACCAGTTACAGCTACTTACATAGGTAGAACACTAAGCCATTTCTGTTTGGGTTACATAAACTGGCTAATACCACAACACATTTCATGAAGTCTATTACTATGTCACCACCATTAGGACAACTACATGGATGACATGTTTCTAGGATCTGGAAAGTAGGAAGTATTCAGGATTCTCTGATAAAGTATACTGATGAATCCAACAAAGCAAGACACATGACATGAAAATATAAGAGCTGTACCTCAGTGAAGTCCCTCAGTGAACAATAATCTTCAGCACACCAGAATATACTGTGTAGAATTAAACAGAATTTACTTCACCTTGTCTCTCCTACTGCTTAGAAAGTGGCCAGTGCCAAGTGGGCCTCTTTGAAGACCATTATGTATTAACTCTGGGAGGCCTCTCTGACTCACCTAAGTGATCTAGAAGCCTCTAGTTGTAAATGGGTCCCAGAGCAAAGAGGAGGCTTCCTTGTTAATCCAGGCTACAGAGCATCTACCTGGTCCCAATCAATAACTACTAGATTCAAGGTAAAGTTAGAACTATCAGGAGGTCATTGGGATGCCACATAGAACATGTGCAAAGTTCTTGTGGAGAAATGCTAGTAAAGTTCTCCAAGGCTTTGTAACAAAGTTATGAAGCAGGATAGTAACAAAGTTATGAAGCAGGATACTCTTGTATCTTTGAAAAGCAGCACTTAGCTCACTACTAAGTGCTATTGAAGGGCTGACTGTAAAACAACAAATACTACTTGATTCGCTCAAAATGAACACAAGTTAGTTGATTCACCAAAATATTAAGTTTAGCATTCTCAGTAGCAAACCATATCAAGTGATAGTGACATACATATAACGAGATGCACAGGGTCCTAAGAGTAGGAAATGAATAATTAAACCTCTCATGGTCAACAGTACTTATCCTGTAGCTGACTGTCTAAGAGATTTCTGATCAGCCACTGTGTGGGCACAGTGAGTACATTTGCATTTTTATGAGTTAAATGGAGTAGTTTGTTATTATTTTGGTTGATATTATTTTATACGTAAGCTTGAAAGGAGAGAGTTCGGTTTAAATATTAGCAAAGGCTGTATAATGACA